TAAGATCATCGAGATCGAGCGCTTTGCGTTACGCGCTGCCATCTTGAATGAGTGTCAAAACTACTTAGGGGGCGGGGGAGCTATAATACCCGACGCCCGCCCCCTCGCTACATTTGAAAATCAAGATAGCCGGGACGGTAAGACGCGGTATATCTAAACGATCTCACGAAAAAATAGGGGACTGTGAACAGTCTAGATAAGATTAGATAATTTGAAGAATTACTGCAGATCGAGGAGGGTGTTATCCGCCGAGGCCGACTCCTTGATCTTCATAATTCTTCAGATTAAGGCGTAAAAAGAGCACACAGTTTTCCTGTGAAAGAAACAATCACAACATAACTTATATCCCTTAAACGTTTAAATTGGGGGGTTGCTAGAAATCGTGTCGTCACGCAACCCTTTTGTAGGGAGAAGTGTTGTTTGACGAGACAAGAATTGCTGCAAAGGAAACCCGATGGGAAACGGTCATTATTGCACCTTCGTATTTGATTGATTGCATTCCTTATAATATGCATGTCTTTGCCTCCTTGTAACCTAAAATTTACAATATTCCACTAATATTGCGGTATTTAAATATATTCCAGTTTCAACCTGTACGTTTTGCCAATTCATTTAACTGTTAATCACTGAAAAACTGCCGACACATGCCTTGTGTTCTAAATATCAAACATGTTGTCATTTTCCTTAACATTATAAACATTCTATATTATAAAATGCTTAGAAAGCACAACTACAGATACAGATACTGATACTACAGATAAATGTATTATTTTTCAGACAATATCATGGGTAACTTATAAAAAATAACTTACTCTTCAATATTATCGTAAATGTACAGTTACTGTTCCTGTTTCCAGACGGGTCCCATGCGGTATATACAATCTCATAGACACTTGGAACTACAAATAATCCACCATTTTGCCTGTTTGAAGCGTGGTTGACATGGCCTGAATTGTCCAAAAAAGATGGCTCCTTCCAGTTCACGGTAACTAGAACTTCTTCCTTTTCTCGCACAATGTCTCCTGGGTAGTAACTGAATGTCGGTGGTTCAGTATCTAAGGAGCGAAATATTTACAAAATGAATTGAAAAATACTTTAATGGCAGGGAGAAAGAAAACATACGCCTTCAATTCGGTAATGTTCAAAAGACCACAGCAGTGTTTTAATAAGATGCATCCAAAGCAACGATGCATTCTTGCTTCTTTTGGTTGATATGTTGTCTTACTATTAATTTACCGTTCTGGGTCCGTTTGTAAAGGATAAAATAGTCAAACTATATTATCAAAGTTATCAAGAGAACGGGGTCCTTCGTACAAGCTCCGCTTTTAGGCTTTTAGGCTTTACATCTCTCAATTTTTTAATCTTCAGAATTTTTAAGAACCTTTTATTATAATCACTATTTGTAAATAGGCTTTTTATCATGATTAATGTAATTTTATTGTTATCAATTTTTTTTAGAGGGCCACTAGGGAGGGAGAAAACTGGAATTCTTAAGATCTTTTATTATAATTACTATTTGTAAATACAGGCCGTCGCGATTGTTGTAATTTATTGTATTTTTAGAGGGCCACTAGGGAGAATACTTCATTGTAATGGGTGTCACCCTCTTAAAATAAAGGTTATTATCATTATTATTATTATTGTCTTGACAAATTGTGAGCTTCAGTCAAAAACCTCTTACCAGTACTATTTAACCTTGTTTTCTTTTTGAGTTATTTTCCTTAAAATCAACCTACCTTACTTAACGTAACTGAAACAAAATAGTGGGGTTTTAACTCTGCTGTTTAATTGTCTACGGACAAGACATTTAGACACATTTTCTATCAATAATATTAGTTGAAGTCGTTTTAGTGACAGAAACGTAACCGTTACCTTTGATTTCAACTAGAAAGGAGCACATTGCGATGTTTCCGGCACCATCAGTGGCGATTACCCGAACGGAAGTCATACCAATAGGAAATTCTTGGGAAGGTTGATAACTTAAGGTATCAGCCACCCTTAAAATTGCCATTTTTCCATATGCTTGAGAGCTTTCTTTTAAAAAAAAATTAGAAGAAAATATTATTTCTGTCCAAAGATATCGGGGGTAAAATATTTTTTCTCGTTAATTATCTTAATTGATCGTTGACAAGATCTGTCATACCCGTGTCATATATGAACTAGTAACGTGATACCGAGTGCGTGCTTCGACACAACACGTGCGAATTATCTTCGCGTTGTTTATAGCCTTTAGTATTCTCCGTGGATATTAAGCGTTTGCTTCGGTGAAAATACCGCCAAAAAAAAGAGAAAAGGTCGTGTCCGTTTTCGTCATCGAAACCGAGAGCGAAAAAGAAATCGAAGAGCGAGTTTGACAGAGTTTGGGCCGCAAAATTGGCAGAGAGCGACAAAGGCTAATTTTATCAGCAAGAGAAGTGGCTCGAGGAGTTGGATATTCAGAAAAGCGAAAATGCTGCAGTTGCTGAGAGTGCAGCCGCTCCAAAATCCAGCTTCAAGAGCCAGGTGAAGAAAGCCAATAAAGCTCATCGACCCCATCAGCTGATGGAACGTGGAAAACAATAAGCGGTCGAGCTATCGTATCGAGCGAAAAGCTGCTTGAGAAACTGGACGAGTCTGTATCTTGTCGATTTTGCCAGGGAAGAGTCCAAGTCATGGAAAATGTAGCGACTAAGCATGGACTTGGTTCTACCTGGAGAATCCAGTGCGAGAATGAAAGCTGTCCGTCGCACAAGACAAATTCTGTTTTTAATTCTTCCGAGAAGAGCAGAGCGTTTGAAATAAACCGGGCCTCAGTTCTTGGCCTTCGAGCAATCGGTGGTGGACATTCGGCGGCTTCAAAGTTTTTTAGTTTCGTTGGCCTGGCGCCGATCAGCATAAACGCCTGGGCGGATCATACAAAAAAGATCGAAGGAGAGGCAAAACTTTTGTTCGAGGAAGAATTAAACCGTGCTTCTCGTGGTGTAAAAGGGTGGAAGTTTCCCAACGGAGAATTAAACTGTTCACTTGCTTGCCGCGAAAGTTTGTTCCTGTTACATGTTACCTGTCAAAGTCCTATTGTTAGAGAAAATTGATCCCTCTCTGATATCAATCAGAATAAACATTTAGGTGTTATAATCTCATTCCAGGTAGGATGCCGCCAAAAATGTATTTTCTATTTTATCTCCGAACGCAAATTTTGCCGATCGACTCGTACGTTTTGAACTCCAAGTCGTCAGCCTTTCAATCAATTTGGCTAAAATTTGGCCAGAGTGATGCCATATATCTCTTCTACAAAACCGTGTCTGCGAATTTTAATACTCCTTTTCATTTTAAAGCTAGAGCTTTTTTTCCACCGGGAGTGTTGACTAATAGCCTTCCCCAACTTCATTTGCTAATAAAAGAAAAACAAACGCACTTGTCAAAAATCTGAGACACGGTTTTTTAGTGGAACGTGTTGAGAAGCGAATGCGGTGTTTATTGTTTTCTTCCGTTTATGTCCGGCGGGAGTGGAACACGATTTATAGAGACGTGTACTTTTACACAAAGCGTTCCAATTTCGCAACACATTTAAGTAAATCGTTTTTGTTAGTTCAAATCCATAATCTGGAATTATTAAGCTTTTAAAAAATATATGGTTTATAGGGGTTTTTATAAAAACAACTAACGCTACAGCGATCCGCGCGCGGACGGTCCTGAAGGGTGGCTGATACCTTAAGTTTACAGTGATATTTTCTTTGGGATCCACAATAAGAGAGTTGTCTTTCACCTCGATCTTCCATGGTACTTTCCCTGTTGCTTTTCCTTTAGCAGTGGTTTCCCTTACATGTGGTCCAGGACAAATTAATCTTGGAGGCTAATAATCTATGGATTAATTAAAAGTCAAAACTTAGATTTTTTCTGGGGGTACACTCGTAACAAATGAGCAGTCAAGTGGAATGGCCGACGACACAGGATAACAAAAGTATATTAGGAGCTCTTCTCGTTAACTTATATGATTCTAAAACTGATTGAAATAGCTACTAAGTAAAAGAATTAAAATATCGAATTTGAATAACGAATAATTTGGTGCAATCAGTTTTAAAAATGAAAAATATGGTACATAATGCTATGTTACGGCTTGCAATTTAGTTACGATATGTGTAGTTCCATATACTTTGAGGAGTAGCGTAGTAGATACGCTTTTCGCGCTCGCCTCTATGCGAAACCATGCGAAAAACGAAGCACTTGAGGAGGAGGCAGGTACATAGAGATCAAACTGTATGTCAAGTGGTCGTTCACAAGAGCTCAAAAACAACGCTAAATTATACATGTAAAACTGTTATTCAAAATAGCGGTTATGGTCGTCTACGAGAGGTGGTAGTTTACGAGAGGTTCCAACCAAAAGGCTTCGACTGGAAAAATCTTGATGTTTTTGATCGGGAGTGGTATATTAGAGAGGTAAAGCATCACGATTATGTCTAACGGCAAACGCGAATTTCTTTAGTTTCCCCTTTACTTGTCGTTTACTGTTCATTATTTCAACACATAAATTAGTAGTTTCACGCAATTTTTTATCCATAAGAGTTGTTTTGAGCTGTTTTTGTCTGTTAATTTTCTATTTTAAGAAATTATCAACTTGAATCTGACGTTTGCTGTTTTGCCGTAAATATACGTGATGCTTTAAACTCTCTATTGATGGCGGTTGCTTACAACAGGTGTCGCACGTGGAGGTTCAACACGATAACTTCGCTATCGCAAAGAAACAGACAAACAACAAAAACACAAGAGAATTACCTGTGCATTTAGGTACATCGGCATTCCATGATCCATTTCTCTGGCACACTAAAGTTCTCTCGAATTCAAGACCTTCAATTTCTTCGATTTTAAAACCGTCAGCACATCGGTACATGCACTTGGAGTTGAATGGCAT